ATAACTTAAACAACAAGCAAGTAGAAGAGAAGAAACTTCTTTACTAACTGAATTGCAAAGCTTATTCAAAACACATGAAAAGATATGACAAATCAGTGAAAAAACTTCAGTCATAAAATTGAAAGATTACGGAAAAAGACATTAATGATGAGTCGATATTAATAAGTTAAAAGTGTTACAACTGTAAAAGAGAGAACTAAATAAGTCGAATGAAAACTTCAGAAAAATAAAGCATTTGCATACTTTCAGTTATTCTGTTTTCTTTTCAGCACCAGTGATCCTATAATCATCGAAAGCAACTGATAGCATCCAACCAATTACAGGACATACCCAATATGTCAAAATAAACCAAATAGTATTTAACCCATCACATCCCTGTAAACGTGATGAAGCAACTGTTGGATTAAGTCCAGGAACACCAACAAATAGTAACGCTGAAAAAGTTATAAGTCTATTTAATTCAATAAATTACATGGATAAATAGATGGTGATCAGAGACCGTTTAAATTCTTGCTTACTGTTTAACTGAAACTGAATTATGATTGCAAAATTCCTCCTAAATTATAATCTTCAAACATAAGCAGCTTCAATTACATATTCATTTATAAATTAATTAAGCAGTGAGTGAATCTATGATCCAAAATGAAATATATTTTGCATTTTCCACTACAAATAGCAAATTTTGCGAAACATTTCTATACAATCATTTTTTTGCCTACCTGGAAAAAAAAAGACTGTAACTATAGAATTTTTGAAATCAACACGGCAAAGATATCATACAAAAATAAAGAACGAACAAAACGTTAAGAGTGTAGATACAACGAGTGGAGCCATATATTTCTTGAAATTTAACGGAATGCGACAAAGAATACAGCGCATTAGAAAACAACCAATGACTTCAAAGCAGGGTACAAACAGGAATGACACCTGAAGCAAAAAAATATATATATATATACAAATTTGATAATTTTCATCATTAGATTCCACTTTAGCACTCTTATTGCTAAAAGAACTAAACATACTAATAGAAATGTTATATTTGTCACAGATACAAACCACATGGATTCCTGAAACCCAATATCACAGAATCTTAATCCATATATTTATTCCATAATCTTTATGCAGATTAAATTGATTTGGTAAGCAATAAAAACCTGATTTCCTTCTAAATCTCTGCAAAAATGACATTCCCTTTCATTTTTAGCAAAAAAGTCCTTCCCATCCTCAAAAATGGAAGACAAGTTCAAAATTGTTCATCCTCTTAACAAAAGGAAAACCTTAACTGAAAAAAAAAACACTTTCAGTTTTTTGAAAGGTTTCTGATGAACTCTAACCTTATAAGTAAGTTTACAACTTGTCAGCTCGTAGAAAAGAACATGATCAGACAATAAATTCAACGACCAGTACCATAGGCTACGGGCTAATCGATAAGCCGAATAACCACCAACCATTTCGCCAGCTATTGTTACTAATAATCTCTTCAACCTGCAATTCTTATGAACAGAATGCTTGTTTGCTTATTCTAATCAATACGGCTAAATCTACAAAGGTAACAAAATCATTTAGCTTCTGAATAACTTTACTAATACCTAAATAAAAACAAAACAAAAAACCAACGGAAATATTCCTTTATAGTACAGCTCAATTGGTACTAGTGGAGAGACAAACGCTTCTCGATTCATGATACTGCCAGAAAAAATTAGCAAAGTAACGATGAAAAAGAAACCCAACAAACCATAATGTCGAATAATCACCGCTGCAACATCAAGTCGTATAATTCTCTTCTAGTTCCAACACCTATAGATACTCACATATCGCATAACATATAAATACTCATATAACACACAGCACATGCTAGCCATCAACAATACAAAAAAATATTACCATTTTCATAAACGCAAGTACACATTTGTGCTGTTGCTATTAGTTCCATTAGGAAACAAAATAGTAATGAACCATTCGTTCCATATCTGAAAAATCATCAAATTAATACTTTATGATAACAAGCAGTGATCAATTTAGTCAGTAAGAAATGTTTAAAGCAAAACAAGAAATATTATTCATCTCTTACAATAACTATGTATATTCAATGCAGATTCTGGGAGAAAAAAAAAACGCTACTTTGAAATGGCTACCAGGTAGAGAAGATGTAAACAACTTACTTGTCAACAAGCTTACGAGTTAATTCAGCAATTACAAAGACTGATAGATAAAAGCAAGTAGCTATAACGAATGGATAGAAATTAAGTTCCAAGATTGACATAGTTCACTTCCACCTGAAATTGTTATACTTGTGCTGGAAGAGTAATGAATAAGTGATTACAATTCCTTTTTCTCATTCGATAAATTGTTAAACAAATTCATGTCTGTTGTTCTTTTCATTCAAAGGAATGAGACTCATTTCATTTCATGTAAACAATTAAAAATTACAAATATGATCTTAAGATAACCGAACTACTAATATAATCTGAAAGATAGTCTAACATAGAGTAAAGGACTTTCAGGATGCTTATAATTTGTAAATTACAATAAAAAAAAGATGAAAATTGTTAACACAGATAAGACATCTTTGCATTAAAAAGATAGTAGTACTGGAGGAGTAGAAAATTCTCTCAACTATTCATTTCCATTTTGGACTGCTCAAATCGGAAAACGAAAACAAACAGCAATAAATATTCAAAACATGATGAAGCATGGATCAGGTAAGTAATAGCAACTCGAATATAAACCTATGACATTTATTAATACCTGTAAAGCAGTACTGTCCTCGGATACTTGCGGGGATGATGCGAAGGTGACAAAAGACTGTTTGTCATATGATCGATGAATGAATGTATGTGTGTGACTCTTTGTTTCAATATTATTTTATATTCCTTTCTCCTAATTAAATTTTAATGGGTCATTATAATTTTAAATTAAAGGTTATCATTAGTTCATCTCCTTATCACATATCTTATCACATATATCAGAAGAATGTTATATTATGCTAATATATTGTCACTTCATCATACCTGTGAAGTTGTATTGTGAATCTGTCTTTAGAAATTTATTTTTTATTATTAATCTTATTTTTTATATCAAACTTCTTTTACTGCCATTTTTTTTTTCTTTTTCTGTACTAATTTTGCCTATCAGTAATCGAATTCCGACTAATTTTCTTCTTTTCCGATAATACAAGGTTTAAGTGAAATTATTCTTTTTATATTAGCAGTGTTCATTTGAATTCCATATGTATAAAACTATTTCATTTCTTTGTACAATCGCTTCTTTAAGTGTAAGAATTTTTCTTTTGCTTCTGCTAAACTTCTGAAATTGAATGCTGAATTTTTCCTTTTATGCTAAAGTTCAATTAAATATAGAAATTTTAAATTGAAGTGAAATAACATGAAGATACGAATCCTTCATTCTTTGTTTTTCTGAAAAGAAAAAACATTGAATGTTATGACTTTATGTATGGAAGAGAATAGTATCTCAAGATTTATTGCTTAAAGAGCAGAAGATGCTAATTTTTTAGATTTTTCTTTGTTTTTTTTTTCTTTTATTTTTTAAGTAATTCAAAAATATTAAAGTCATTTAATAGAGCGGCCAGTGCTCACCCATTTATGAAAGGGAAATTTAGGAAAGGATGAGTCACCAAAGAAGAAAAGTGAAGTATTAAAGCAATGTAGGAAGTCATCGGTAGACGGGAAGGTATCAAAAGAGCGCAAGACCGGTTCCATGCGACGAGTGAAATCCTGTTCAATGCACGGAAATACCACCGGAAACATTGAAACGGTTATTGTTACAAGGATGAAACTGAAATAACACTTTTAATTGTGTAGGAGAAAGCACGGAAGTAAGTGCCCACAACATATATTCTATGCAAAGATTCCGGTTTCTAACTTAAAACATTGCCAATTATTACAATATTTTGGGAATTATTTTTTCAAAAATTTAAACTCAAAGTATTAAGAGGAAAAAAAGATAAAATAAGTCTTAAAAGATGGAATAAGTATCATTCATAATTAATAGCTCACATACAGAAGATGGAATAACGAAGGACCGAGAGTTCCCATTGCTTTGAGAGGAATGAAACCTTTAAATTACTAATCTCATAATTATTACTTTTACTTCTTGATAGAATTAGTGGTGCAATAAGAGATAGTATGTTCAGGTCTCGAAATAGGTTAGTGATAATTGGTTTGTTTCACTTAATTTACCTTCTGGTTCATCTACCTGTATTGCTGGTTATTTTGGGTATTTGCTAACTAACAGGTTGTCACTACCTTATTGGCTGTTGAAAACTTCTGGCACGTGCTACTACGTCTTGGCTGCATTCTGGGGATATTTTATATTCATAAACACAGATCAAAACATATTCCTCAGTAAAAATATATCAAAATAAGATATTCCAATGAGAAACAAGGATTTTTCACATTAACTTTTCTTTTTAAATTAGACAGCACATGTCTTACTTTAATGGTTTCTTTGTAACTATGAATAATATATATGGACAGGGAAAAGTTAATGGAAATATCATTGTGCCAGAATAAATTTATTTGGGATTTATTAGAAATTCACGATGAATCGTATTCGATTTAAAGAAATGAATCGTATTCTAACTCGACTTTCTAATCTAAGTATTATTAATTCTGCAACAAGTAACATGGTTTGATGGAATGCAACTTGTTAGATTTGATGTTAAATATATATATATTTATTTATTTATTTTAAAAAAATATTACTGTAAAAAAAAAAGAAAAAAAACTATTAAAAGTATTAACTGGTTGACTGATTGATAGATGTAAATTTAGAAAAAGTAAGATGTAATTTTGATTCAATTTTTTTGTTTGAAAATTATATCAGCAGGCAGTCTCACTGACTCATTCATTTCATTTAACCTTATGTCTCCAAGGGTCACTGTCAAGGTCATATTGTCGTCTTTTGCTGCTGAAGCTAAAATAATGTGATATTATCAGTGTATGCCCATTCATTTGGTCTTCTGTAATCACTATTGATCGATGAAAGGTTACTTTGGTAAATTGCTTTGCTTAATTACACTTCGAATTTAAAATTAGGCATCTAATAAAGCAATTCTTAGGTATCTAATAAAGTTATTTCGGTATTTTTTATCATGAAAAAGACGACATTTCTTATTATTTCAACTTTAAAAATATCATAAGAGAAAGATTGATTTACTTGGCGAATGTAAAACTATGTGCCATAAAATAATTGAAATAATTTCTTTCGAATTTTGAATAATGCGATAATCATCCTACCAAGATTTTTATTTCATACAGAGGAAAAAATAATGGAAAGTAAAAGTTACTGAAATTCTCAAAAAAATTTTCTAACAGTGCTTTTGATTTATTAACAAGATTTTCTGCAAATATTGATAAGGTAAATGATTTAAACTGTATGCTAAAAAAAGAAAGAAAAAGAAAATCCGAAAATAATTTGATTTATTGCAGCAACAAGAAATGGATTAATAGTATTGACTTGTGCAATAATTTTATCTCTCTTAGTATTATTAATAACAAATTGGAGTTTTTATGATATTTATGTGGCTGATTTCAATCATTTGGACCGATTATCAGTGGTTCAAGTAACTCGAATTTTCCCTCAAGGAGGTCCTTCTTTTTTTGCCATTTTTTTTTTCGAAGAGTTAAATTCTATTTCACTTAAATAGCCAAATTAATTCTGCTTGATTTAAACAGGAAACTTAGAAGTGGAAGTCAATATGAAATAGATATCGGATGACAAGGAAATTATTTTAGGATTGCCAAGTGTACAAGAAAGTCTTATTTATCATAATTAAACTGCCACTTTTATCTCATAATTTAGGTGATGATGTAAAATTTGATCAACCTTGGGCTTTGCCAAATATAAAAATAATAGAAAGCATAGAAGATATCAATGAAAGTGAGCGCTATGTAATAAGTAACTTTTCATGGAGTCCAGGTATTGTATACTTTTTTGAAAAAGAAAAAAAAAATGCTGTTAAAATGAAAACATAAAATTGCATATTGCTGAAGGGTTTAAATTGATATTTTGTTTTTTGTTCCTTTTTTTTTGATATTTTAATAAGTAATAGGTTGAATGATGAGAAGCAATATGCAGCAAAATTTCCATTTAAAAATTAATACTTTTCTAAATTTTTTTTTTTTTTTTTGTCAATTTCACTGCAAAATTCTGTTAAATACTGACAAAAGAAAGATTCAAAAAATGTTTAACAATATTAAAAAAAAAAAAAAGCACTTCAGGATTGGGTAACTTAATGTTTCAATATGCATCTTTACGAGCAATAGCTGAGCGATATAATGCGAAGTTAATTATCCCTGTGAAATGTACATTACGACGAGGGTTTAAATTGGATGCTATTATAGTAAACAATGAGCTAAATGATGAGCTAATTCGACAGTACAGCTCAAGTAAACGTCATTTTGCTGTTAGTTTGAATGTTTAAAGATTAATCACTTTCATATCTTTACAACTTTAATGACGGAATTTTTAAAATACAATGTATTTTTTTGTCATGCTGCAAATATTATGGAAAAGAAGTTGATGAGTTATTCGTTGATCAAAGCTTCGAATATATTTCGGGATATCTTCAATCATATCGTTATTTTCATCCACAACAGGTAAACTCATATTAAGCATCAATTCTTGAGTTGTTTTTTTTTTTTTTTGCTAAAAAATCAAGAGCTGAGGTAGTTAATAATTATTTAAATGATTTATTTTATCTAATATACACATTGATAGAATATATGATAAAAATTAAAAGCTATAAAAGATTTTTAGCTTTTATTTTTTATCATATGTTATATTATTGTTACTGTCAGTTATATCTTTTATTATTTGCCTTTACTTATCAAAAATATCACAAATTAAAGAACTGAATTTAGGAACATTTGATTCACAAACAATTCACCTTCTTACCAGAAATTGTCAAACTAGCGGATGATTATTTGCAAGAAGCCAAGTATGAAAAACTTCATGCAAGAGTTACTGATATAATACCTGCAGATATCAATCTTAGAAATTATCCTGATCATGTGGATATCAATAAAGACTTTTATGGTATCCTTCTTTTCATCTTATGATAACAACTAATTAGTCTTCCTATCTTATGATAACAACTAATTTAGTTTTTGTATCTTATGGTAACAACTAATTAATCTTCGTATTTTATGATAACAACTAATTAATCTTTGTATCTTATGATTACAAACTAATTAGTCTTTCTATCATATAACAACTAATTAGTCTTTCTATCTTATGATAACAACTAATTAGTCTTTCTATTTCTACTGCGAACTTCGAAGCACTATTCATAGAACCAAACGATTAATATTCAATGTTAACCATTAATAATAATAGGTCACGTATACGTTGGAATACATATACGACGTGGAATGGACATTACAATGAATAGTCGAAATATAAAATATGGCCATACGACCATCACAAAAGATTATATCATTAACGCAATGAATTATTTCAGGTCAGTAAGATAAAATCAATTTGAGAGAAATTATTTCAATTCAATATAGAATTAGTGCTGGTAAAGTTATTATCCACATGCTAATATGTTTCTATTTAATTTTAAATAAATATTATTTACGAAACTTTCCACAAATGCAAAGATTGAACAAATTAATTAGTTAAATACTATTAAAAAAAATGATAGTTATTTTCTCTTATTTTTTTACATTTTATCATAATTCTTTTTATATCTGATTTATGGAAGAATAAAATAGCATTTTGTGGTATTTAGTGATAAGCAAGTGAATCCTTGTTACTTAAAACTGATTTACTTTTGTTCTTGAATAGTTCAAAATTTTTGTGACTCAAGAACACTTTATCATAATAATTAATTTCTTATAGGTCGAGATTCGAGAAATTAATATTTGTAATAAGCAGTGATAATGAGCATTGGGTTAAAACAAATATCAATCATACTCGTAAAGGTTGGTATTTATTCGAGAGCTCTTGCTAGATCCAACATCCTTTAAAAACTCATATTTCAATGTAATTAATTTGTTAGTAATTTTTTTACTTTGTGTTTTACTTTGTTTAGTGAATTAATCGAATGACTTTGAAATATTTTCATCAAGTAACTACTAAGAAAAAGGAAAAACAAGGGAAGAAAAGGAAAAAACTTCAAACTTTTCCATTTAGCATTCAAAATTTCACACCAAATAATGTCATTCAATCATTTGATCACTTAGAATTAATATTTACCAAAGGAATGAAAATAATTTAAGGTGAAATTTACATCGTATCATCGGGTTATCGGGAAGTTGATATGGCAACGCTTGTCCGTTGTAATCATACAATAATGAGTACTGGTACTTTTTCCTGGTGGATTGCTTACCTGACAAATGGTACCACAGTATATTACAATAATTGGCCAAAACCTAATTCAGTATTGGAGAAAATGATAAAAAAAGATGAATATTTCCTGAATAATTGGATACCAATATCATAATTTTCTGTCATATATCTTTTCATATTTCATATTTTTGACAATAAATTCCACTTTCAGTTAATTAAAGGGAGAGGAATTCAATTTAAAAATATTGGTGAAGTTTTTGGTTGAATTTTTGGCTAAATTCTAAAACCATCGAGAGAAATTTTATTTTTTTTTTTACTTCAACAAAGTAATTTTTTTATTTATTTATAAATTTAAGAGTTGCAATGTGGAGTTTTTCAACTTTTCTCACATTCTTAAAAATTTCTATCACTGAACGATAAATGAATATGCATTAGCATATTGTATTTGCTTTCTTGCAATTTTTGTACTATAATCACGAAACTGCCAATAAGCTATTTTATAAAGTTAATGAATTTTTTTTTTTTTGATAAAATATACGTATGTAAGCTATTAATTACTTTCTGGATGTATGTTTTGTTCAGGAAAGTTATTCTCATATTACTTTAATTTCAGAGTTCATTTTTTGTTGCTCTCATTACTTTTCTCATCTCTTATTAAAATGATGGAATTCCTCAGTTGCAATATTTTAGTCTTTTTCATCAGCACTTATCTGCAACATAAGTATAACATAACTAAAACAAATAAATTTAATTTCACGATTTATTTATTATTTTTAATTTTATCAAAATTATCAAAGGCGTTCATTCAATTATTGCAATGTCACATTTGCGCTGTTATGTTCCTTTGTTCGCGTTTTCTTTTATTATTTGCAAAAATTTTCATTGCATTTGAGCATTTTTCAGATACACTATCGAATTTCGAGAAATCAGTGTAACAGTTTTATTATCAAATAATGATAATTGCATAAGTAGTAGAATGATTTGATAAAAAATCTCTTCAATCGATGAAAACTTATCTTCATTTCATGATCGACTGTGCAAGTAAGCTGGAAGAATCTTTCAGAGCGAACCGAGATGGAATTTATGGAAGATTACATTTCAATTTTTAAAATGGTCTCATAGTTAAAGGCGTTTTAGGAAATATATTCATAAGTTTATAAAATCTATAAAACTTATAAAAAACATAAAATTTTCCACAACTTTGAACTGCCTTCTTTGTAAAATTCTCAAAATAGATGTAATTTAGACGAAAATAATTATTTTCTTCATAATGAGAAACAGATAAGTGTCATAGTTTTCTTAATGAGTCGTTTATTGTTATATTCTCAATTTCGAGATGATAATTTATGCATTTCCGTTATCTATTGATTAATCAGGTGCTATTTTGAGTTAATTAATATTTTTAGTTATTCATTTTCCATTTAAATAATAAATACTATTGCAATTCTACTAGAATTGAATCTAAATGAATATCATTGAATTTTAGCGAATTGGCAGTTTTTTCAAAAAAAAAAAAAACAGTCCTGTCTAATTTATTTTCAATTCTAAATATATTTATTTTTTTTTTTGCGGACTAAAATAATTAGCCATTTATTCATCTTATCATTATCAATATCAGTATCACTATATCATTCCATCTTGGCATTTAAACGAAGTGATGGTAGATCCAAATCAGGCATTATGGGATCTACATTAAATAATGTATCATCTTCATCTTCCTGAATTTCAACTTTTATACGATACTAGGAATTTTTAGAAAATGGAATTTGATAATTTAGTTATTTGCGGGATTGACTATAGCTAAAAGATATTACTTAAAGCGATTTATTAATAGGAAGCAATCTGAGTGAGCACTGAAACAGACTAACAATTTAATTACTGTCACTAATAACTGCTAATTTTTTGTTAAAATTAAAATATTAACAATACATATTTTCTATATTTTTTGTTAAAATTAAAATTATTAATAATGGTTTATAAAATTTATATATATTTTTTTTTTGTTGAAAGATAAAATTTACGTTTTTGATAAAATGAATATATTAACAATGCATACTTTTTCAGTTTTATTTTTTGATCTCTTTTCAGTCATATCATTTGATAATTTCAAATTTACATCACCGCCTTCCTTTTCTAGGCTTATCTCTGAAGGAGTACTGCAAGCAGATGCGAAATTTAGCAAATGGCTTCTTTAAATTTAATTTGATTGAAGTTATCCCTCACTATTCATCTTATTAGCAAACATTTCTTCTATCTTTCGTGTTTTAAATAATAGAGAGAATCTAGAAGTATCACAAGGATTGAATATTTCAACAATCTTAAAAGTAAAAATTAACTGTGTTGCTGAAGCACTGATTCCAGTTGAATGATAGTTTGAAATTTCAGTCTCCGAGTTTTCAAATATTTCTTGATGAGCCAACTGATTTTCAATTCTCTTTTTCTTCTTCTTTGACTAAAATTGAGAATAATTGATAAGCAAATTGATATCCTACAAGATGCATACAAACAATGAACAAATTAATTCAACAAAAGTCTGCCATTTTCACTACACAAAGAGATTTGTTTATTCCTTAAATTTTTGTGAGCTAAAAAAAAAAAAAAGCTGCCACTTACATTCATTTTTCATGAAAGTCTATCAAATTCAAATTTTTTCAAAAATTCTAAAAAAAAATTTCGAAAAAAATCAAAAATTAGTCACTTCAAAAATTGTTTCCATTGCAAATTATAAAATTTTCATGAAAAATAAATGTAAGTGGTAGTAAGCATAAGAAAAGCTTTTAAAATAATTCGTCTAAGCATATACCGCTATTTGAATATAAAATATCCCCAGAATGCAGCCAAGACGTAGTAGCACGTGCCAGAAGTTTTCAACAGCCAATAAGGTAGTGACAACCTGTTAGCTAGCAAATACCCAAAATAACCAGCAATACAGGTAGAAGGTAAATTAAGTGAAACAAACCAATTATCATTAACCTATTTCGAGACCTGAACATACTATCTCTTATGGCAACTAAATCTTGCACCACTAATTCTATCAAGAAGTAAAAGTAATAATTATGAGATTAGTAATTTAAAGGTTTCATTCCTCTCAAAGCAATGGGAACTCTCGGTCCTTCGTTATTCCATCTTCTGTATGTGAGCTATTAATTATGAATGATACTTATTCCATCTTCTAAGACTTATTTTATCTTTTTTTCCTCTTAATACTTTGAGTTTAAATTTTTGAAAAAATAATTCTCAAAATATTGTAATAGTTGGCAATGTTTTAAGTTAGAAACCGGAATCTTTGCATAGAATATATGTTGTGGGCACTTACTTCCGTGCTTTCTCCTACACAATTAAAAGTGTTATTTCAGTTTCATCCTTGTAACAATAACCGTTTCAATGTTTCCGGTGGTATTTCCGTGCATTGAACAGGATTTCACTCGTCGCATGGAACCGGTCTTGCGCTCTTTTGATACCTTCCCGTCTACCGATGACTTCCTACATTGCTTTAATATTTCACTTTTCTTCTTTGATGACTCATCCTTTCCTAAGTTTTTTAATATTTGTTTCGTTGTTGCACCCTTTTGTTGTTCCTTTTTTCTTCCCGCAAATAAGCTTAATTTTTCCTTCAATTCTTTCTCCTTCTTTTGCAATTCGCTCTTTGTTGTCTACAATTTTCAAAACTTATGAAGTTTTAGCTTTATAAGTTTTTTAAAAAAAAGTTTTAAAAGTTTAAACGATGAGTCATTCGTTTGTGTTATACATTCAATGGCTACAAATACTAGAGTATTACTACCGCAGGTCAACCATTCTACTCAAATATTTTGCTATCAAACATTTTTGATTTATTTGATTTCTCAAACTTTACATTTTTCTAAAATTTGAATGCTGAATTTTTTGGAAGCTTTTATCTCTTTCCAGATCCTATCGCTAATTAACAAAATGTTATTTTTTTTGATCGGAAGAGTAACTGATAAGTGCTAGTAGATGTTAAAATCAAGATTATCACTTCTATTAATATCACATGAAATTTTGCAAGAGGCATGCTCTTGTTAAAATACACAGACCATTGTAAAATTCGAAAAAAAAGAAGAATCGAAAAATTGGCGACAAATTGGATTGAATAACGCCTCACAATTTAGTTAATATAAAAATAATAACTGATTGCATTACTGCAACAATTTTATATAAAAAAACGAACACATTGAATTAGTTATATATTATAATTTACATAAAATGTAAATTAATTAACTTCAAACACTAAGAAATATGCAAATCTTTTGAAATTTCAAAAACTCTGTGCTATTATTTGAACTGAAAGTGTTTAAGTTTGAGAAAATAAAAGTATTTTTCACTGAACGTTTTTTGGCTTTAATAAGATTAATGCATTTCAAAATTATTATTATCTTTCATCTATTCACAACAAATTGAATTGTTAAATCCTCCTATGGAAATAATTAATTAAATTAAAATGAAATGGAAAAGTAAGATTGGAACAGTTTTTTTTTTTTTTTTGTTCAGGTAACATTAGTTTCAATCAAATTTAAAGTCATCAAAAGATAAATCGTGGACGAAAGATATCCTTTCGGCGAAATATTTGTTTTCTAAAATTAGTAAGTGTCAAAAATAAAATAATTAATTTTTATTTGAAGGCACAAAATGAATGGATGAATCAATGGGCACATACATTTCTATAAGTGATAATTAAAAAAGTACTAGCACAGACAGTTTATTGAGGATTTGTTTAAAAGTTGAATTTTCATCCTATAAAAGAATTTATAAATTTTTGAAATCAAAAACGCCAAATTGACCGATGATTGCTTTTTAAAATGTAACACTTCTTCATACTAAAATGAAGGGTTGGCTAAGCTAAATTTTAATTTGTGATAAAATTCGATATCATATCTTATCTTGCTAAAAAGTCAATTTAAAAAGTTAGAATTGAAAAAAAAAATGGATTATGCGATAAGAGTAAAATTTAAGAGAACATTTGATGGAAATGGAAGATCATTTACTTAATGGAAAGATGCACATTAAATTTAAATAAGTTTTAAATTTCTCTATAATGTTTAGAAATTTTTAAGTTATAATTCCGTTTTAAAATGTATTTAGCGGATTTTTCATAAGAATCTATTAACTAATTAATCTATTAATAAGCAAACTTTTAAGATGAACTTTTGATCATTGAATATTATTATATTATACAAAAGATAATATTTGTTGTTAACAGTATCAGTGATCAAAAAAAAAAAATTCATCTAATAGCAGTATGAAATGATCTTATTAATTCACTTCTCTGCAAATAGATTCTTTCAATTCATCGCTTTCTTAGATTTTTTTTTTTTTTTTTGAAAACTATCACAGTTTGATAATTTCTTATGGTGCCACCGATAAAATTATTTTTTATTTATCGAATACTAAAAATTTTTCATTTTTTAAAAAATTCTATTTGCATTAAACTTTTCTCATTTTATCTTTTTTTTTCTTATTAAAAAAAGGAAAAGTATTACTAATTCTATCTTGAAATTAAATATGAATTCAAGTTTTAGAAACAGCAAGACAGATCGCTTCCAATTGTGTTGTTGTTGTTGTTGTGCTTGATGAAACGATCACTTTCATTTTGGCAATCTCTTGGGCAGCATTAGTTAATAAAACTTTGTCATCCCTAAATTATTAACATTTATAAAATTCAAGATTTATCAAATTTTAACTTAAAAAAATTCTAAATTTTTAAAATAAGAAAGTATAATACGTAACTTTGATAATTTTGTGATGCATTTATTAAGTGATTTAAACTATGGCATAGTTTCATTAATTAAATTGTAATACATAAAATATCGAACCGTGCAGAAATTTCTTTTGAAATTTTATTTTTGTCGCTAGCAATACTGGCAGCAACAATAGTATCAGGCGCAATTTGTTTCCGCCGGTATGTTTCTTTGCAATGAACAAATAATTTATGCCGTTCCAAGTCATTCAATGTTTGTGCCCTGAAAAATAAATTTCCTTTTTTAAAATCATCGTACACTTAGTTTTCTTTTTTTCCTTTCTTCAATTTCTTTATTATTATTATTATTTTTTTTTTTTTTTTACACATGTGGCTGTTTATTCATGAATGCTTTCAAAAAAAGAATTTTTAAGTAAAATAATTACGAATATTTTTAAAGAAACTTATGATTTAATAAGCACTAAAAGATTATTGAAAATTATCAAGTGTTCAAATATTCAAATGCTCAATAATATTTCAAATAATATTTCCCTCATGTTAATGCTAATGAATTTTGAAGGAGATCTTTAAGAGTTAATAAAACTATATCAACTGATTGTCCATAAATATTACTGATATTTTCATTTAAGAACCAACTAATTTCTTTTTTAATTGAAAAAAATTATTTGTGCCATAACTTAAATACCTAAAAGCACATTGTGAACATTGGAAATTTGATATAGTTTGAGAATAACGTGGAAAGTGTGCTCGCGTAGCAGCGGAAGTAGCTCGGTCTACGTCTTGCACGTGACGGCTTATATGTTTTTCTAACATTGCCGGACTTTTTGAGACATGACGGCAAAATGGACACTTCCGTGAACCTAAAATGAAAATCTTTTAGTTGAATCAACTCATCGTAGTTTATATCATTTAAAGAATAAACAATCAAAATAAAATGATTCTATTTAAATTATTGAAGAAAGCTAACAATTGATATTAAATAACAGAATCTAATCAATCAAACACAAAAAAAAAAACGCTAATTATTTTTTTACAAGTGAAAAATTAATGAAAAATACCCAAATCGATATTATCTGGTAGAGGAATATGATGTCGATAGTATTTATGGAAATGAATGTATCGTGCTTCACGTGTCCTAAACGGACAACCTTTTTCGTCACATTTAATAGGTGAATTACGGTGATATATAGTAACGTGATATGATACTGAATTATAACGACCGTAAACTTTATGGCATACTGTACACATATAACCGTTTGCTACCTGTTCAATGTATTTTTTATTACGACACCAACCTGAAATTAAATACATTGAAGGTTAAAACTTGGTCCTTTTGTGGTCAGTTTAAGCTATATTAATTTTTTTTTTGAATTATCTGTTAATTTTTTATTTTTTTTTATACTAATTTCCCCCAATTATCAAAAAAAAAAAACATATTTATATATAATATTTATATATATGAATTTTTTGAATTATCAAAAAAAAGAAAGCTTAAGATAAAAAAAAAAAAAGATTTTAACCTTCCTTATCGCTTGATGGAAGTAAAAGCTCATTGAACCGTTCCGCATTTCCTGTTTGTACCGTCGAGGATGATTCTTTTGATGATGCACTAAACAAAGAAATTGATTGAACACTACTAAGTCATCACTGTATTACGAATATTAATTTTGGAATAAAATAAGAAATTAACATATATCTTCCGTTTTCGGATTTAGTAACATAAATTAATTGATGAAAATTGATTAAATGAACAAACATTTCCAATTTATAAATTTTTAATATTTATTTAATTAATACTCACACAAGCGTTTCATTGTTTATTAAATCATTTTCAGCATAAATTTTTGAAGATTTCTGAATTTCCTTTTTCATAGGTATCGATAAGCAATGTCGTTGTTTTATTAAATTAGTTAAATTTGAATTTGCTGCAAATTTCAATTTGATCTTAATAAATATTTCAAACTTGATTATAACGTTGTTTAACCTATTCCTGACAATTAAATTACTCAAAAATGAGCTGTCAAAAGATTTTGGCAAATATTTCTTTGTGAATCTCACTTCCCATAGCGTAAAATTAGATGTCACAAGACATAAAATAAGAGAATTATTAATAGAAGTAGCTGAAATTTTTAAAGATGACTAAATATTCATGTAGGTACTGTTTGTTTATTTTTGTAAACACTAAAGTTTAAAGAAATAAATGCCCACGGGCCATAGCATTGTGCTGCCTTATAAAACAATTGCTTCCGTCAAAATGTATGGAGAAAAATAATTTTAAAAGTTCCGCCACTTGCATTTCCACCATTGGAATTTGACATATCCGAGATACTTGTAAAACCTACAAGTATTATTAAAATGTACTAAAAATTGTCAAAAAGTAATTTGTTGTTGAAAAAAAAAAAAAAAAAAGAAAAAGAAAGCAAAATGATGCAGAAATTAAACCGAATTAATTTGTAATATGAAAATTAGAAATCACACCTGAAACGGATGTACAGTACCAAATGAAAGCACTCCGGTATAAAGATACCGTAGAATAATCCTGAAAGCTTGTCCGGCATTGGCAGTAGTACCAAGATGAAGCTCAATTGTTGGTATATTTTGTAAAATGCCATTGTTTCTGTCAATTGAATAAGCACCATTGAGGATCAATTCACGAATGTGTAACGAAAAGAATGCTAAGAGAAATTTATTCGCTAATATTTGTTCTTCTGAAAATTAAATTTCATATTTTTTGAAATGAATTTTTCATTTTCTCATATTAGATTTTCGCTATTCCTTAAATTGTTTTCCTTTTTTTTTTCAACTTCATCCAATGTATTTTAAGTGTTAATTTTTCTTTTCTATTAATTTTTGAAAAGACCAAAGATTTTGCAAATTAAACAATTGAACGTTATGTTTTAAAATGAAATAAAATTTAAAAAAAAAAAACCATTTCTATAACCATTGGCCAGATCAATCGTTACAATACGTATACAAATATCATTGAAAAATGGTGGTTGCATAAATGCTGTGACAGCTTGTTGAAATTGAGAATCTTTTTCTCTATCCAAGCCATTGCCATCCGAACTGTCACACATATCTTTAAGAAAAAATTTATTTCCCTCTTTAAACAAACATTCATTTTTGTGATATTCATGAATTATTCTAAAATTTTGCATTCTATTAAAACGATCAAAATAACTATAAACAGTTTAAATCATAGTCTGTAGAAGCGATGACTAATTCACTGTGAGATTATTTTTTTCTTTTGTTTTAGAAACGATGGAATTGGAGGAAGTCAATTTAAGATTAAAACTAAGATTTCAAAATTTTATTTCTAAAAGCAATTCACTCGATAAGCTA